AAAAAAAAACTCCCCCTCCATTGTGTACATGTTCTTTGTAAACTAACCTCAACCCCTTTCTTTTTGGGGAGGTTTTCGTGGTTCTCCACCTCTAACTTCTTATTTTCTCTCTTTCCCTTCTTGGCCTAATTTTTCTTCTTCAACCCTCTTTCTTTGTATCATCCCATTGCCACCTATCTTACCTTCTTTCTCTTTCTCCTATTTTTCCCTTTTCATTTCTCATATTTTCTAATTGATCCATCACCTCTCTAGGCCTTTCTTCTTCATTCAAACTATATTGTTTTTGCATGGTTGCTTTTTCAGTTATAACATGTTTATTATACCTACAATGCTTCAACATAGATAATGGCCAATACAGCAGGAATTTTAGGAGAATTAACAGGTTTTATCTAAAAAGGTATTCTACTCAATCCATTCATTTTCTAATTTGGTTTTTCTTTTGTACATTTCAATCCCAAAACAGAAACAAGAAAAAAGATTCAAGCTTTATGCAAATTTGCTCTGTATATTGAAAGGATAAATGTCAAATTTCTATTTATTGTGTACAATTTGTTTGCTTTTTTGGTTAGGCAAAGGAATTGGTTCTTCACATTTGTGTGGTGCTTCTATCTGCATTCTGTTTCATATCTGAGCAGAGGGTTATTGTTGCCTTGGAGTTTTGCTCACTCTTCTATGGGAACCAAAATGAAGGGGATCTACAAATATATCTCTAATATTTTTGGTAAATTGCTTCGTCTCCTTTAGCCCCATATATTCCTATGGGTTTTTTCCCTTTCATTTTGAGTTAATTTTTTTGACTGGGGGTAAAATTGGTTGTGATTACAGTTGTGAAGGAGAGGGAGATAGAGATAGGATATCCAACTGATGTAAAGCATGTGGCACATATTGGTTGGGATGGACAATCAGGCAATGCCCCCAGTTGGGTATGTCTTAATTTCTTCATCATTCTTTGGTCCACATTTGTATGAAATGCTTTCTTCTTTTTCTCATGCCTAATATTTTGTTGTTTGTTTTGGTTCTTTTTGGAACTTTTATAGATGAATGAATTCAAGACTGGGCCTGATTTTGCAGCAACTTCTATTGGTAATTCTGGTTCTGCACATTCTCCATGGGCATCTCAAGGTTAATATTTTTTTTTTGCTTCTAAAAATCCCTCCATTTCCCTCTTGTGTGCTCCTTTAACTACCAAACATCTATGTGACAATCCAGTAATAATGACCAAAAGATGTGTTACAACCTATGTTACGCGGACTCTTCAAAATAGTTGCAGTACCTGTGTCGGATCCTCCAAAAATGCACTATTTTTGGAAGATCCGACACACACGTATTGACATTTTTGGAGAGTTTGAGTAACATAGGTTACAATACTATATGCTTTTTTAATTTATTGAGTAGTTGGAATCATTTTGAAAGAATCAGAAAGAAAGAACAACAATAAAACAAGGGAAGTGTCTGATATGTTGCTTTAAAACATGTGCAGTGTCCATAATCAGACAATGGCAGTAGGGTTTTGTCACGGGTTGAGTTGTAATTGAAATATGATAAGCTTGTCCTATGTTTTGTACTAATGTGTAGAGAAATCAATTAAAAAGGACAGGGCAGTTCTTTCATTTTTTTTAATTTTAAATGGTCTCTATTTCATGTAAATTTATAGTATGTTTTAAATGTGTAAGATTGCAACTGACATAATTTCAAGTGTCATTTGAAGTGAATTAATCTAAAATAAGGATTGAAATGAAATGATAATTTAGTTTGCATTTCAAATCCAGTTTCTATTAGGTAAATCTAGGTAGGTGCAAAAACTTTAAGCTACACAGGGCCAAATCCCTCCATCCAAAGGGACCCTAAAAGATTCTTTGCCTCAAGCCAGGGAAAGCTTTGGACTTATCTGTCATAGAAGAAGGTCTTTTTTAACTTGGCACCAGAAAGGGACGGATTTTTATGTGCTTTTTCAGAATAATGTTGGCTGTTAGTTAAATACTGCTTCCTCCGTTCCAATTTATGTGAACTGTTTGAGTGGGCACGGAGTTTAAGAAAGAATGAAGACTTTTGGAATTTGTGATCCTAAACAAGTCAAAAAGAGGTCCAGAGTATTTGTGTGGTTATCAAAGCTTCTCATTAAGGGTAGAATTGGAAGTTTAAGCTAAATTGTCTCCATATTTAGAAAGGGGTCATTCTTTTTGGAACAGACCAAAAAGGAAATAGGTTCACATAAACTGGAACGGAGGCACTGTCTCGTACCAGTTACACCCTAATTTAGTAATTTCGTAACATCTAGATTACCAAACAATCCTTTGTGTAAATGTTAGAAAGGAATATATATGTAAATTATACTTTGAGTCAGAATCATGGAACAGAGGAATCTTTAATAGACTAGTAATACAAGCATTTCACCCCAATTAAGCTTTCATCTTAGTTCTCTTTGAAGCTAAGCTAATCCAAGTTTCATAAAAAAAACCTCTGTTTTTTTCTCTTGGAGAAGAAAGCAAGCAACTACTTCTACTAAGATTTGCACACTCCTTTGACTTACCATTATCACTTATTTTGACACGAGACATTCAGTGTGATAGGGAAGTGCAAGTTTCTTCATATATCTTGAAACAACTTTGACACGAAAATTTCTATTTCAAATACTGACGTGTGGTCTGTTTATAGGTCATTCAACTTGGTTGTGTCGTTCTTCGTTTATATCTTTGAGTGAGAACTTTTATAATAAATGCCAAAAATGAGAAACGTATCACTTCAAGTGCCCCCCGTAAATGAACATTTGACATATCATGTGATGGACTGATTTCTAATGCCATCTTCTGGATGTCTTGATATGAGTTGATTCACGAAATTTTGTTATAGTAGATGTACCAATCCTGATTTTTGGTGGATAGTTAGGTGTTGTTTCTTGTGTGAAAATTTATGCTTTTTTTTTTTTTTCACTTCTTGACAGATTACACAGAATCAATGAGACAGCAACCAGCATCTGAGCTTTACAGGGACGTAGCACCTCCTAAGAAACAGAAGCGGAGGAAGGCCAAGTCAACATCCTCTCCCAGGTCAGGTTCATCATCCTCATCAAGGTCATCACGAGTGGAGAAATCCAAGGCTAAATTCGTCGAAGGAAATGCTAAACCAGTGAACATAGAAGTGGCTTAATTTTACAAACTCGTAGCTCAAAATTGCAGAGAAAATTCTGTCATTGCCTAGCTATTGAAGTTGTTTATAGTCCTCATGAAAGGATTGAAGAGAAAGGCGAGGAGGGTATAGAAACTTGCATAGATGTAGAGACTGTCACACTGAAAATGTTATTAAGAAATACCGAAGAAAACTAAAAAGTAGGAGGGCTTAGAGATGTGAAACAGAAGGTGAAAATCTAACTCCTAAAACCAGGATAATGATTTGGGAGAATTATAAATTCTTTTTTCCTCTTTTTTTTTCAATTTATTTTTCTACTAGTTTTATCTTTCCTCTTCTTGGAACTACGACGAGGAAGGATCGTGTAAAGAGTTGAATCATTTAGCCTGTTGGTTGAAGATTGTGATAATGCTAATTATTTGATTTGAACAAACTCCAGGGATTTTCTCATACTCTTGGTTATGGATAAGCTATTGTTTGGACTTCAATGTCTCTAATAGAATGTTGCAGGCTTCCTTATAATTTAAAAAAAAAAAAAAAGAAGAATGTTGCAGGCTCATATAATCTAAAAATTTTGGATTTGATCACATATACTATTAGTACCAACTGAATGAAGCTGCTAATATACTGCAGATTGAACACCCTCAATTTGTATAGCTACTAAATACTAAGTTTCACATAACTTTGATGAGTAGAGTGGAGAATTGGACATTTTATTTTGTAACCTTAAGGAGTCACCCTTAAAAGGAGTTCATGCCCCTTTGCATAAAATCATCAGACAACAATATACCCAGTGGGCACGTAGTGCTCACCCGAAGGGCAGAGGGTGTAGCGGCTGCGGGTTTTCCTGAGGTTCCAAAAAAAAAATATATGGCCTGCCCCTGATTCTCCTTTTATTATCACCTAATAGGAAGTGACTTTTTTTCCGTAAATCTTTCATTTTTGTTTATTTTTCGCTCTGATTTTTCTAAGAATCCAGCTGGAAAAGGGTAAGAGACATAATTTCGACATTGATTCAATATCATTATCGCATGACGAATTCAATTCTTAATATGATTTAGGCCTAATTCCAACAACAAAGAAGTTAAAACTCGTACCTTTCACTGTCAGCAGATCTGATTAGTTTTTAGACATTTAAAAAGACCAAGGATGGAGGGAAAAAAACAGAAACGAAATTAAGGGCTGTCTTTTATATAAGAATCAATACTGCTAAATGATATAAGGGAAAAATAGCCAAGTTATTTATAACCCAAAAAATAATAATAATAATAATAATAATAATAATAATAATAATAATAATAATAATAATAAAATTATAATGAAAACTAAAAAGAAAAAAGATTGAATAACCGTTGGTAGTTTGGTCCCTCCATTTCAGTCGTAGCTTACATGGAGGAAAAACTTTCATCTGACTAAGTCTTCACTTAATTCAAGATTATCATCCCAAATGTCTCTTTCTCCTCTTTTTCCCCCCTTTTTTCTCCTTTTTTTCCCAAATCTTGAAATCTGATTGACACTATTGAAAGTTCGAAAAACAGAATGAAGATGGTCTCAAAAACCACAATCTTTTACATAATCTTGTTTTCTGTCACTATTAAGGCACAAGATTATGATGGTAATTCACCACCTGCACCTCCCCCTGCAGAAAATGACTGCAATGGAATTTTCTTATCCTATGTATTCATCTCTAGAACCAAAGAGCTTCCCCATTTAAAGAATGCAAGTGCACAGGCCTGGGCCTTTAAGGCTATGGCAACAGTACTTAATGCTGGTATATATGAGCTCAAGAACTGGAAAATCTTCATCGGGTTTCAAAATCGCGAGCTTTTAGTCTCAGCTAGTAATGCTGTGTTAGTAAATGGTGATGATTTCCCAGCTCCTGTTGGAAATGGAACTTACTTAGCTGGCTATCCTCAGACGGATTTGAAAACGTCGATTGACACTGCTGGTGATTATACACAAATTCAAGCAGAGATTGAGTTAACAGGTACTCAGTTTGGAATCAGGCCACCGGGTTATCCCATGCCTAAAACTATTAAGCTTGTCAATGATGGATACAAATGTCCAGCAGCAATTCGAAAATGTAAGTACGAAATTAGCTATGTGAATGAACATCTTTGTTTGTTTGAATTTTGAATCTTCAATTTTGTTTGTTGTGTGACAGCAACGACAATGCATGTTTGCTGTGTAAAAGATCCAAAATTTAAGGCGAAGAATTTCACAACCAAGTATTTCCCACGCCAAAATGGTGATCTTTTGATCTCTTATGATGTTATGCAAGCCTATCCGAATAACTATCAAGCACAAGTGACTATACAAAATAATAATCCTTTGGGACGCCTTGATCAGTGGAACTTAACTTGGGAATGGATGCGAGGAGAATTCATCTACTCAATGAGGGGTGCATATACTCGCAAAAAGGACTACTCGGATTGTGTCTATGGTGCTGCAGGACAGTACTATCAAGACTTTGATTTTTCCAAAGTACTGAACTGTGAAAAGAAGCCAACTATAGCTGATTTGCCTCCGGATAGAGCTCAAGATAAAGATGTTGGGATGTTACCATTCTGCTGCAGAAATGGTAGCATCATGCCGAGTGTAATGAATGAAACCAATTCAAAGTCTGTTTTTCAGTTACAGGTATATAAGCTTCCACCAGATTTGAATCTAACAGCTCTTTACCCTCCTGAGAAATGGAAAATCATCGGTGTTCTTAATCCGGATTATAAATGTGGACAAGCCTTAAGAGTAGATGAAACACAATTCTCGGATCCTAGTGGACTTCAAGCTACTGTCACAGCTATTGCAAGTTGGCAAGTAGTCTGCAATATCACCAAGCCAAAGGAAAGAGCGAACCGGTGCTGTGTTTCTTACACTGCCTATTACAATGATTCTGTAATTCCCTGCGGCACTTGTGCATGTGGCTGTGATAGTTCTGTTAAATGCAATCAAAAAGCACCAGCACTTCTCCTTCCCCCAGAAACATTACTGGTTCCATTCGCGAACAGAACAGAGAAATCCGTGTACTGGGCTAAACTAAAGCACTATCACGTGCCTAGGCCGTTACCTTGTGGCGACAACTGTGGGGTTAGCATAAATTGGCATGTTGATTCAAACTATAAAACAGGATGGACTGCTCGGGTTACTATATTCAACTGGGAAGAAATCAATTTCGTGGACTGGTTCGTTGGAGTCCAGTTCAAGAAAACTGGTTCTGGCTTTGCGCAAGCTTACTCTTTCAATGGAACTTTACTTCGAAATATGAATGACACAGTTTTCTTGACAGGACTACCTGGTTTAAATTACTTGATAGCAGAAACAGATGGACAAAAACCTGGAGACCCTAGAGTACCTGGAAAACAACAATCCATCCTTAAATTTGAGAAGAAACGTTTAGGAGTTATTGATATAGTAAATGGGGATGGATTTCCAACTAAGTTGCTATTCAATGGAGAAGAATGTGCACTTCCTACGCATCTCTTGACAGCGGATGGAAGAAAACGGCGTGTAAATTCTTGGCTAATCGCCATCATAACGTTGTTAACCTTCTTGCTGATGCTAAAAGACTTGCAATGATTGAAAGCTGATCATGGTTTTGGCTGTACATTTGAAGGAAAGGGAAGGAGATTCTCAAGTGAAACTTAGAACTGACAGTCTATCTTTGGAAGTTTCCGTTTCTAACCTCACATTAGTATACCACCGTATTCAAATATGATAAATGGAGTGATATTCTCAGTTTCAAGAACACAGGAATCACGTATTGCAGAGTGATTCTTGAGGCTGCTGGAAATTAATGCTCACTGAAGGACTGCTAAAGTAAAATGAAGAAAGAACTGGTACCCTTGTATTTGTTCCTTTCTAGTCTCAATTGTGTTCAGTGCTTGGATTTTAAGGATCAAAGCTTCTCCTAAAAGAGAGAGTTTTCATGTAAGCTAAGCTCCATTTATCATATGCTTTTGTCCAGACTACGTGAGCAAGATTTTCTAATTTTATGGCAAAGGTCAACTCCTTATGTTTACACTTGCTATGTTATTGATCTCGTGTCCTTTCTTCTTGTACTCATACAATGGCCAATAGCCGTTTTCGGCTAGTTGTATTGTTGAAACCAATGGCGGAAGCAGGATTTTCACCAAGAGGATTCAAAAAGTAAACACGCGAAGAAGCTAAGACCGAGGTCTACCAGAAACAATCCCTCTGCCCTCCCAGGGTAGGGGTAAGGCCTACATACACACTACCCTCCAGGACCCCCACTTGTGGGAAATCACTAGGTTTGTTGTTGTTTGCAAAGAAGTTAAGAGGATTCAATATTTAATATATGTACATGAAAAAAGTCTGACCGTATATACACAATGTAATTTTTGGACGAACCCCCTTCTGCCCACCTAGCCGCGCTCCCTTGAAACTGACCAGACCTCACAAGCACTAATAGACGGAAACAAGTACCAAAACACATATACATTAAACGTTTGCAAACTTCAACCTTTAATCGAAAAATACCTAGGAACAATCCCCACGTTGTGTTTCTTCATGAATCATCAACCCTCAAGATGTTATGAACCTTTAAATTTCCCTTTATTCTTCTAAGCATATAGGTGGAAATTAGACCAAAAATAATTGTTCATGCAGTTGCCAGTTTTCTATTTTTCACTCCTTAAGCCAAAACAACCACAAGTTATAACTCAATCTGTCACATAAGAGTCCATCAGATATACGCCAATACCATTTCACCTCAACTTATAACAATTGGCCTAATCCTCACTACTAATAACTGGAACTATAAAAGACCCAGAGTTTTATGTTACTTATTATAGCTGGGATCCAGCAGCTGAAGCACCAAGTAAAGCACACACACAAACACATTGAAGCATCTATATTTGTTATTCGAACATTAATTTTATTGCTGGTCACAGTGTTTTTTATTATTTTCACCTCGAAACACAGATATTTTATGGTTAATCGTCTCTCCAATCATAGACGACTGTTTTTTTCTTATAAAGACTACTTCACTTATATATACTATATTAAAAGCACGAAGGCCTTTAGTGAAATCTCGTTCGTCTTTTTTACCCTTTAAAAATATATTTTACATTGTATAAAATTGTAAAATCATAAAAATTTCCTTATATTTAGGAGTTCTAAATAAATAAAAAAATCTAATATAATTTAGTGTTTGATATCTTTTCTTAATAAGGATAAAATATATTAAGAATAAAAGAATGCAAAAAAGTAGGAGGAAAGTTTTTTGTTGGTTTCCAACAAGGAAACATTGAGATGTAATCACAGTAAATTTTATATTTTGATAACTACTAAATCAATACTTACTTGAGAAATGGTACAACTTCGGGACAATTTAGCAACACATGAAGTGTAGCTGACTTGTACTCCATATCACTCAAACTTCTCTTTCTAACATCCTTAGAACATCGGCCTGGTTGATTGAATATGGACATAGGCGTTTTTGTGGGATATTTTTTTTCTTTGTCCTTGTTTAATCATAAAGACCAATTTTGCCTTTATTTGTTTTCACGTGATTTATTTATTGTTTTTAAAATTTAAATCATAAATATTTTCTTAGAAGCTTGGTTGTTAAATTCGTTAAAATTTACTACGGCATTAGGTTTTGAAATATTAATTATTGTTGAAACAAATAGTAATCATCAATTTGTGATAAGAAATTAATTATCATAATTTAAATTACAGAAATACCTAAATTACCTCAATGCATATGCTAAAATAAATAGATGGAAAAGGACTTTTATTTTTTGGTAAAAAAGAAACTAATATTATTACTAAGAAAGTTTTTTTTACATAATTTAACTTTACAAAACATGAATTAGTTACTAAATTCATCTTGTAGCTAATAGGATTTTTTATAATATATAACTGATTCTATCACTAAATAGGATTAGCGATGAATTTTATTTTTTAACTACATAATTTATCTATCGCTAACTTTTCTTCTCTTTGTAGTTAACTTGTCTTAGAATACATGGTACCTAGACGACTATTTTGATACAAAATTAATATAAAAGAACGAGACACATAATAACACTGAACTTTCAAGATTATCTTGGTTGTTGTCATGCTTAGATAGGCCATCTGCTACTTTTTTGACTAAGTAGGCTCAATATTTATCTTATTCAAGAGCTTATATATTATTTTTAAGGGTTTATATTTTTTATAATTTTATATGCATCGATAGAAGGTACGCGCGCATCATGCATATTCTAGCACGAAGCCCCTTAGCGAAATATCGTTCGCCTTTTTTACCCTTTAAAATTAAATTTTATATTGGTTAATTGTAATTTAATTATTCTACTAATATTTAAAACTTTAAAATCAACTAAATATTGGCCATTAAATCTTCCCTTATTCGAACTACATATATAAAAACTCCTAAATTTAGTAATTTAAAACCAAATAAAAATTTACTTATAAATCCTTTCCTTAAATAAATTGCATAAAGTAATTATGACTTTTTCTTATGTGTATTAGACAAAATGTATATAAACGTGTTAGAAATCTACTATAATAAAATTTTAGATCTAATCTTAAGTCTTCAAAAATTAAATATTGCTAATAATATGTAAACCAAACTTACAACATACAAGGTCGAGTATGAAAATATATATATATAAATAAGTTTAACACGACGTGCTTACGTTTTGATAGTAAAATAGTATTTTAATTTAAAGTAATAAGTACTATAATGTACTTTAAGTTAATTATTTGAATAAGTTGAATACATATTGTAAATTTGTACACATATTATATTACAAGTTCAATTACAATATTCGAAAAGTAAAATATAGTTGAGATAAATTTATATATTGAAACTAATGAAAATAAATTAGATACATTCATTCACAAGTAATTTAAGGCAGTAGTTAAAAGAGCTAAAAGAAAACATAAAGAGCGAAATGTATAAATTGATATTCCTTATTGAATTAGCTATACAGAATCAAAATTCTTTGTTGAAATAAATATATAAATTTATTTTAATTCAAAAATAACATTTATATATATATTTTTAAAAGTTATATACTCATTTAGATAGGTTACACGCGCAACGCGCGTAACATAAGACTAGTTAGTTGAAAAGCGCACATACTAACTTTTTTTTTAAAGAAAAAGGGAGTTTGTAAGAAAAATGTAAGTGGCGTTTCTCTAAACTAAAATAGCAACACAAAAAAAAAAAGGAGACAAACAAAATTGTACTTCATTAGCTAACTTATGTGGGGGAAGTGCACGGTTAGCCACTAATAGCACATGTATTTACTTTTAAGCCACTGTTTAAAATGTCTTTAGTCTTTAGCCACTGCTTTAATAAACTTTAGCTGCCCGGACGAAAATACCCTTCTACTCATGTCCTTAACTTTTGAACTTAACTTCAGGACTTCATGACTACATGTCCTTAACTTTTGAACTTGGAACTCTAAGTTCAGGACTTCAGGACTACATGTCCTTAACTTTTGAACTTAAGGACTTTAGGACTACATGTCCTTAACTTTTGAACTTAACTTCAGGACTTCAGGACTACGTGTCCTTAACTTTTGAACTTGTAACTGTAAGTTGAGGACCAAGTGTCCTTAACTTTTGAGCTTATTAGTCTAAGTTCAGGACCTATTGTCCTTAACTTTTGGGCTTCTTAGCCTAAGTTCAGGACCTATTGTCCTTAACTTTTGAGCTTGCTAGTCTAAGTTCAGGACTTCAGGACCTATTGTCCTTAACTTTTGAACTTGTAACTATAAGTTCAGGACCTATTGTTCTTAACTTTTGAGCTTGTTAGTCTAAGTTCAGGACCATGTGTCCTTAACTTTTGAACTTATAATTCTAAGTTTAGGACCAAGTGTCCTTAACTTTTGAATTTGAAACTCGAAGTTCAGGACCAAGTGTCCTTAAATTTTGAACTTGTAACTTTTGAAATTGTTGAAAAATCCTCTTTTAGTAACCACGTGTGAATACTCAACCTACGATCTAATTCTCTTCCTTTTCTATAGTAAGTCTTAAATATGCACTCACTCTCTCGTCTCATCTGAGATCTCGAAACATACAAATCCTAATTGAGAAAAAGTGACGAAGTAATTGCTCGTCAAATGGAGAGGAGAATTAGGGATGAAACAGAGAAATTCGATGAATTCCAGGGAAGTAGAAAATAAGATGCATTTAGAAGAGCGAATATATGCCATGCTTTCCGTGGTTAATGGATGTTGTTGATCCAGGCCCAGGTATCACTGTATTTCCGTTTGGGAAGGAAAGGGTAACAATGTCCTTTCATATAAATTTTAATAAATTAGTGGTTACTTTTGCTCAGTACTAAAAATGCTGGATAAAAAGTAAATACCACTTTAAATAGTTGCTACCCCATACAATTTTTACACAATGATCACTGTGAACTTGATCGGTCTTAGAAGCTCAACTATTCACAAAGACAAACAAGATTATTCCTTTACCTGACATATGTTAACCCTTTTCTCCATTATATATACTTTTCTTATGTAACAAAATTATCCCTTTTTTTATGTTTTCCATTTGCAACGGTTTTTGTACTACCCTCCGGGGTGGCCGAGTTGCATATCTTCTCGGTCGAGTGTGTCGCACTGAGCTTATCTAGTGTGGTTTATTCTTCCTGTGTAATTTGCGGGCTATTATATAGGAGTGAAGTTTGCCCTTGCGCACGGGAGAAATTCAAGAATAGCCAGATTTACAAGTGGTCATTCAAAAATAGCCACAGTTTCAGAAGTCATCGAAATTTAGCCACTTTTCATGTAAAGATAAATCTGAACGAAAACACTGTTCAAATTCCGGAAAATACTCCAGCATAATATAGTGGTTTGGAGTTCTAGTATACTTTGCTCGAACTCCAGTATATTATACTGGAATTCCAGCAAAGTATACTGGAACTCCCGTATATTATACTAGCCAGCAAAGTACCGGTCTAGCATAATATGCTGGAAGTTCATACACAGGTGCACCGAACTCCAATATATTATGCTGGACCGTTCTCTGTCGCAGCAAAATAGTGGCTATTTTTCAATGACTTAGCAAACGTTGGCTATTTTTGAATGACTAATCCGAAAATTGGCTAGCCCGTGCTATTTTAACCTTGCGCACCCCAAGAGTAGCGGTTGCGGGTTCTCTTGTTAACAAAAAAAGTTTTTTCATCATATTAAATACACTCCAAGTTTATCAATGAAATAGGGAAAAAATCAGAAATAATCTAATTTACAATTGTTAATTGACAAATAACCATAGTTTCAAAAATAATCGAAATTTTGCCATTTTTTCCATGTAAAGATAAAACATGGATAAAAACGCCCTTAAAAATTCGAAAAAATTCCAGCATAATATGCTGGAGTTCGAATTTTTATATATGAGATTCCAGCATAGTTGGATGAAATTTCATACTCCCTCTGTTTCAGTTTATGTGAACCTATTTCCTTTTTGGTCCGTTCTAAAAAGAATGACCCCTTTCTAAATTTGGTAACAATTTAGCTTAAACTCACAATTCTACCTTTAATGAGAAGCTTTTATAACCACACAAATACTCTGCGCCCCTTTTTTGACTTGTTTAGGACCACAAATTCAAAAAGTCTTCATTTTTTCTTAAACTCTGTGCCCAGTCAAACAGGTTCACATAAATTGAATCGGAGGGAGTACTATGCTTGAAGTTTATACGCATGAGCTTCATAATCCAGAATATTATGTTGGAACTCTTCGTGTTTCAGTTAGGGTATTTTTTCAAAGTTTATCTCCTCATAAAATAGTGATTATTTTTTAATAATTTTGTAAATGCTAGCTATTTTTTAATTACCAGTGACTACATGCTATTTTTACGGTAAACCGCGGTTAGTGACATCGTTCACATTAGAGACTCGTTCACAGTAAACTCGGCATCATATTATTACGAGACAGGCTGACAACCAGCAACCGAAACATATACTAGAACTTCACTACATGATAGGCAGATTAATTAAACAGGTTTCTCACAAGCCCTCAGTGTAAGCCACACCAGTAGATTTCAACCATACTCCTCCTTGAATTAGCTGACCCACTGTGAATTTCGTCGCCTCTGATGCACTTAAAATATGATAACCAGGCCACTTCACTCTTTTACTAGTTCCAGCTCCAGGCCCTCTGTTCATGTACTCACCATAATACAATGTTTTCAAGGCAAAATCACCATCCCATACTGACCAACCTTCTGGATCAATATGGTCTCCAATATTGGACTGCATAAATACAGTTCGCGAGTACGCTTTCCACGGACGTCCCAAATATGTCTTAACGGACCCTTTCACTGGTGCAAGGTCTGAGCTAGCTATAATATCACAGTTCTGGATTGAAGTTCCTGTATTTTGGTTTGGATCTTCACGACCTTGGGCTGTAACCATGTTCTTTTGTCCGGTTCCAGGCTTTCGAGCTGCGATTTTGGAGTTCTGGAAGACAACTGCAGCATTACCAAAGATGAAATCAACAGTGCCAGTGATGTAACAATCTCTGTAGAATTGACGGAGGCTGTGGGTATAGAGGGTGTCTTGAAATGCATCTATTTTGCAACGATTGATGACTGATTGATCTGCTCCAACACGAAGCGCTACTGCTTGGTGCTTTGCTGCTCCTGCTGTGTTTTGAAACTGTAGATCTTGGGCTATGAATCCATCCCCAACAGCAGCTGCATTTAAAAAGAAAGTTAGGCAACCGCAAAAAGAAGTCAGTAGAAGTCCAATATTATTATGTTCTCATTAACTGAATGTGGATTTTAGATTTCATAGCTTTAGCCTAAATGTTCCAGTGATGTACATTTAAAGATTGCATAAGTTATCGCCACCAAAGAGTAATTGGCAAAGCCCCAATTGACAAAGGCATTTATTTGTCCATTAGGAAATTTATTGTTTTCCAGTGACAAACCTTTTTCCCAAAAGTTGTCCAAAGGGATCCTGAATTTCAAACCTTTTTTTTTTGTAACAATTGTGAATATTACCATAACAAACAAATTAATCAATACCCCTAAATAGCACCTAGTTTCACAACCAGCTTCTAGGAAGAGTATTGTAAAGTACTAGGCCTCCAACTGCATCTAATTATAAATGAGTCTCTGAATAATACTCTGACATCTACTTGCTTTTTTAGGCTTTTTTGTTAAGAGTCAAAAGCTTTCATTTTTTCGAAAAATAAATTAAGTCAAAACAGTAGGGAGAAAGGCGATTTTTTTTACCAACAGTTGCAGAGTTGAAGGTTGTTGCACCATCGACAACATTCAAGTTGCCAGTGATAATAGTAGCATCCATACCATCACCAACAAGCATCACATTCTTCTTCTTTTTCCCAATCTCAACATTCTCTTTGTATATTCCTTTTTTCACATATATAACATAACGAGTCTTGCTATTATCTGGAGCAGATGCAACTGCTTCCTTTATTGTCTTGAATTTTCCGCTACCATCTTTAGCCACTACAACATTGGCTGTTATGGCATTTGCAGAAAGTTGCAAAAGCCTTCTATCATTAATAGTAACCCATGTGGGTAATCCATCAGTAACTGATGGAAGATCCATGGTATTAGATGGTGTCATTTTAACCATCAAGGCCAAGGAAGTCTTTGCACTTGCTATTAAATCCTTCAACATGGGCTTCATAATGGACTGGGCCTGACCACTTAGCCCATCCATGCATGTACCATGGTTGGTGAGAATGCTACTTAGCCATGTATGGACATCAAAATGGGCCTGGGCCGATAGGTTCCCAAGTGACATCATGGAGTCCATTAATCTGTCCCTTGACAAATCCATTAACTCTAGACAATCTGCTACAGCTGCTTGCTCGTTGTCATTATTAATCCGACCGTTCACATTGCTCACTAAATCGATCGTCTCGTGGATTTTTAACGATGATTTATGCAAAACCATCTGTAACAAATCCACTGTGGTGGTATCTATCATACCAGCAGGTGCAACCTCAGACACCGTGGCCAAGCAAGATGGCTGATCATGGGCCTGATCACAAACATGGGCTGTCAAGGAAAGAGATGGGCTGCTGCCATTGATAGCCCAGATTGAAATTAATCCAACTGAGCCCACAATAGCAGCTAAGGAGAGAAGAACATAGAGAGCTTTAGAAGGGGAGGATTTTGTTTTCGGAGTGTCTAACAATGGTTGTGAAGAAGTAGCCATGGCTTAGTACCAAAGTGGATTAAGCTTTAGTTTGCTGTGAATCTTGTCATTGCTAGTGTTCTTTTATAGGCTAAAAGCAGCACCAAATGTGAATATCATAATTATTTTTGCCTACAACTTGCAAGAAAATACACATAAAGTAGCTGGAATTCAATAAAGCAACTTTAAAATATTTTTTATGAGGTGGGGAAGGGATTGATAATTACTATAATACTTTGTTTAATTAATATGCTGCACATGTAAGTCTGATATACTGGTATTGCTTTTCACTAACCCTAGTTTGTGCATAATATGATTGCATCTATGGATTTTTTTCTCCTATTTAGGACTGGACATCTGTTAATCTATAGACGTGTAGGCTTACATTTTGACTAAAAGCCCGTTAGAACATGAAATTTTTTTTTCCTTTTTTCCAAAAAAAAATTCACTTTTTTTCGAAATTAGCGTTTGTTCATAAAATTTTCAATTTTCACTTGAAAATGCATTTTAAACATTTTCGAAAATTTGAAAAACTCCAAAAAGCTATTTTTCAAAATTTTCATTCAAATCACTCACAAAACTTAAAAAACAACCCAAACTAAAATTTATGTCCAGACACAACTCTAAATTTCAAATACCACTTTTACTTGAAATCTTTTTCGCCATTTTTTGAAACTTTACAATTCTTATGTCCAAACGCCTACTAAGTATTCTTCTGTTGCTAAAATTATTCAAATGTCAAGAATTCGTGGCAAGTGGTGGCAATTTATAGCCTCAAATAGCTTTCGCCTTCAAATTGTCCATCATAAAACCAACAAATAACAACAACCCAGTGAGTTCCTACAAGTAGGATCTGAAAAAAAATATAGCATACACATCTTATCCCTACCCCGGAGAGTATAGAGTCTGTTTCCGAAAGATCCTCGGCTCAAGAAGACGAAAAAAGACGTAATCATAAAACCAATAGTCAATAATCCAACTAGAATATGTGTTAGTAAATTAAACAAAATTTTCTTACCTATGAGGTACTGAATACCTGCGGACACAGAAACAAGAGCATATTTCAGCCTTCCTTTCGTATTTATCTGGACTTATGCGATCCGTCTACTAAATCTATTCTAATCTATTGCAAAGTGACCCAACTCGAGCTTCACGTTGGAAGCAAGGTGGTAGGTGGACTGCTTAGAAACAATACTATTTAATAACAAATTTTTCCTTCGAATAAATTCGAATTAAAATGTTCCACGTTCTCGCTAATCAGATTTGATTTGACCGGTACGATTAAAAAATAGGAATTAGCGACGGACAAATTCTATAGCTAAATAGCAAACCTGTCGCAAATCCCACATAACGACAAATCTGCATCAGATTATTAAAAAAAATTATTAGCTCTATCGACTAATTAGCGACAAAGTTCATAGCTAATTCAATTTTTTTTTTTTAGATATTTGGAGGGAGAGTGAATACTTAATTTATCTCACGCTTTTTTGCACATGCTAGTGATGTAAATGGTAGTCTTAGTCTAGAATATCTAAGAGTTTGGAGATGTCCAACTCTATGTTTTAGGAAGTTAAGAGGTAAGCTCACATGTCCCCCTCCTTTATACTATTTTAGATGTTAATATACATGGTAGGGGTCAGCCAGACCCCCCATCACCGAAACAGGTGAAAGTCTAGGTGGATGGATTTGACAAAAAAAAAGTTGATTTTTTTTAGTAATTGAATTAATACGAATTAATTTTTGGGATTGTTATAGAAATAGCTTACCAGATTCAATGTTTACTTTTTCAGCTGGTATATATATATATATATATA